ATCACTATTCTTGAAATTGTGGTTCAATTTCTTCATCAATTTTCCTCAATACTTTTTCCTGTTGAGCTTCTTGAAGATTTAATTCAGTATTACTCTTCTCTCTGATGAATTTCTCAACCATACGAAACAATTTCTCCAAATATTTCTTCAATGAAATTTCATTAGAATTGTTAATCTTGTTATATTAGACTCGTAATTCATCCATTTCATTAAGGAAAAGAATTGGCTCTTCACTGCATGCTTCAGTTTTCAGATATTTCTGAAAGATTTCTCTTCCTTTTGGGTTGTTCATCAATTCTTCATAGAGAACTTTGTAATTATTGGCAGTAAAGTGTCTGTTTCGTCCATTATTGAAAACTAATTCGCCATTGTTGTTATTGATTCCTTGATTAATGACTGTTGGTGATGTTTCATTTTTCTGTACGTCGTTTTTAACTGCTTTTGAATTTCTGGAAGCTTGCAGGTCATTACTGTAAAACCCCAGCCGTAAGACTCATTCATCCTATAAGACTTTCTAAATTTAATTAAAAAAAAAGAAACAACAACAAGTGGCATGTCGCTTGTTTGTGTTCCAATATTATAGTTTTTGAAATGGTTTTTGTTCAACTGCGCACCACTGAAACAAAATATCGAACCAGTTCAAAACAACATTATATTTTAATAAACAAGATTAAACACAACACTTTGGAGAAATTATCTTTTTTATTGGTTTCTAATATTTGATTTAGTAGTCCGCAAGTGGTAGGGTTTCGACACTTTTTTTTGTGTTTGGTTATTCTGTTGTTTACCCGAGCGTAAGTCTTACGGCTGGGGAATTACAGTACTTGTGTTCTATCAAGCAACTACCAACTCTTAAAAGTCCTCTTCTTGCAATCTTCCGATGATTCTTGATTTGTGATCTAATAGTAAAATAGACCTTGACAAATTGTATAAATGGCAGTGAAAACAATATTGTTAAGCACTTGCCCTAGTTAAATATTCATAATTTCACATTTTGTTTCGTAAGTTCTTAAACAATGGTTAATGGTAAGTATTCCTCTTTTTAACAACACCGCGCCATTATTTATTTACAGTTTTCAAATCCAAAAAAATTGCCCAAACCTTTTCACCCAGGTGCGTACCTATGCTTCGCAACTCTGCAAAGAAATGATTGCAACCAAAAAATGAAAAAATGTCTTCTCCACAACGGCACACGGAAATGAGAGCACATTCATGAAATAGTTGATATTACTGTCCATCATTTCCATTTTAAAAGAAAAAGCATAATTTTTTGTAGCACTGTTTAGTCCTTCATGTCAAAAAATGAGAAATTCAAACCATAACTCAATCTAAGAGACCAATGAGAATGGACTTAACAGTCCAAGTGGTGAAGTGCATAACAAAACGAATCTCAACAAAAAAAATAGTATGACACCTCTTCCAAACAGATACCTGCCAATA